CTGAAGCATCGGAAGTTCCACAGGAACTTAAGGAAGCATTTCTTCACTGTGAGGGTGACAAAGCACTGGAACAGGCTGCCCAGAGAGGTTGTGGAGTCTCCTTCTTTGGAGAKCTTTAAAACCCRCTTGGATGCAGCCCTGTGCCACRTGCTCTAGGTGACCCTGCGTGAGCAGGGGGGTTGGACTCGATGACCTCTGAGGTCCCTTCCAACCTTCGGCATTCTATGATTCTATGATTCTTTTCTTTTAGACAATCCCACATGACTGGAGGGAACTAATGTCCAACAGCAGCTCCCTCAACGAGTTCCTCCTCCTGGCATTTGCAGACAGGCGGGAGCTGCAGCTCTTGCACTTCTCMCTCTTCCTGGGCATCTACCTGGCCGCCCTTGTGGGCAATGGCCTCATCATYACAGCCATAGTCTGCGACCACCGTCTCCACACCCCCATGTACTTCTTCCTCCTCAACCTCTCTGTCCTTGACCTGGCCTCCATTTCCACCACTCTCCCCAAATCCATGGCCAACTCCCTCTGGGACACCAGGGCCATTTCCTACAGGGGATGCGCTGCCCAGGTTTTCCTGTTTGTCTTTTTTGTAGSAGGGGAATTTTCTCTCCTCACAGTGATGGCCTATGACCGCTTTGTGGCCATCTGCAGACCCCTGCACTATGGGASCCTCCTGGGCAGCAGARCTTGTGTCCAAATGGCAGCAGCTGCCTGGGCCAGTGGCTTTCTCAATGCTCTCCTGMACACTGGGAACACATTTTCCATTCCACTGTGCCAAGGCAATGAGGTGGATCAGTTCTTCTGTGAGATCCCCCAGATCCTCAAGCTCTCCTGCTCACACTCCTACCTCAGGGAGATTGTGCTTCTTGTGCTAAGTTTTGGTTTACTGTATGCATGYTTCCTTTTCATTGTGGTGTCCTATTTGCAGATCTTCAGAGCTGTGCTGAGGATTCCCTCTGAGCAGGGTCGGCACAAAGCCTTCTCCATGTGCCTCCCACACCTGGYTGTGGTCTCCCTTTTTATCAGCACTGGCACTTCCGCTTACCTGAAGCTGCCGTCCATCTCCTCCCCACTTCTGGATCTGGTGTTCTCTGTTTTCTACTCAGTGGTGCCTCCAACACTGAACCCCCTCATCTACAGCATGAGGAACAAGGATCTCAAGAACGCTCTGAAGAAACTGTCTCAGTGTTAGAAATAACTTCTTCCTCTTCCCTTAACAAGTGTTTTCTAATGCATTCCATATAACTCTGTTCTTTGAGCATTCTCTCTGTATTTTTTTTTTTTTTTTTTTGTGATCATCCTTTTTATATTCCGCCTCCTTTTCCGGCACGAACTCAGTCTCTCTGATTGCCATACCTGCTGTGTATATGTCTCTGTGTCCCTGTGTCACTTACGGGATTCATTCAAATAAAAGTGGATGTCTTCAGGGCCTTGCTTGGAAGTTGGCCTCTCCTTCCAAAGCGGGAGCCCATAATGTGCTCAAGGCCATTCACCTTCAAAGAGTCGGTTGTTCTTCTGGGGCTCCCTAAGGACGCCAGGCAATGACCTCATAGATGATGTGTTAGGGAATGAAGCCTGGATTCAGTTCTCCCCTGTGGGTGCTCAGGGCTCCTGAAGGTGTTGAATGGTTCAGCTGTATCTCACGTATGACAGGGCTGGAGATGTTTATGGAACCTCCAGGACAGCACAGGGCATCTCCAAGGGCTCCATGTTCCAAGGAGTGAATGGAGATTCATAAATTCAGGGGGAGCCATCCAAAGGGAAAGGGCACAGGTGGAAGTCCCCATGTTCTGTCTGGGAGAAGGGAAATTGCCAGGCGCTCTCCCAGCCCTGACCCACCAGCCTCAGTGATGGCCAGCCCTGCTGCCCCCACAGTTTCTCGGTGCTGAACTCAACCACATCCCCAAGCTGCTCCCTACAGCTGGGGCCTGGCCATTCCTGTTCCTCACAAGCTGATTCTTGAAGGAAACATTGGAAGAAGAAGCCTGGTGCCATGATCCTGGCCTGTGACTCTGTCAGCTGAGCTTTGCCCTGCAGAGAACTATTCTTGGGACAGGCAGTTGGGAACAAGCAGCTCACAGTGTTTATGAGAGCCCATGTGGGACAGAATGTCTGAGTGGACAAGGAGGCCTTGGGCTCCCCTCAGCCTCTTGAGGACTAGTTGGTCACTCAGAGAACTGCGAGGAGGAGGGACATGTGTCCTCCTGTGGTTTGGGAGGTGAAGGTGCTGATGTGGGCTGGGGACCAAGGCACTGCTGCTTCCTAGGCCCTCTCCTCAATTCTAGGAGGTCATTGCAGGAGCAAGACAGTCCTGGAGAAAAACTATCCCCACAAGGTGGGAGCCAGTGCAGGGAGGGTGTGTGCACATGGGGTGCCCTTGGAGCCGCAGACTTGCTCACATTGCTTAAAGGAGACTGTACGTACCTCCTCACCCTGCTTTTGCTCCTGAAYTAGCGTTTCCACTGCTCTCTCTATTAGGCTGTGGATRTCAGTAACTTTTCATATATTTTGACATGTCCTGAATAAATTAAATTTTGCTTAAGTCAAAATTACCTTTCTAAAGACAACTGTATGTCAGACAATCTGTGCATGGGCACTTTTCATATTTCCTCAGTTTTTC